GCACACACCTGGGATGCTCTTGAGGATGTTAAGCATTCAGCAGCATTCAGATTATTACCCGCTGCTCAGTTGGGTTTAATCCTTCCAAATAGCTGAGAAAATTCACTAGTAGGAATTAAGAGGGCACAGATATTGCCTGTTAGCGGCAGGAGGCGGCTCATCCCACTGCTTCTATCTGGCCCCCCCACAGCCTTGGTTAGGGGGGACAAAAGCCAAAGCTTTTGTGCTAACACCGTTGGTTTACAATGGGCTGACCCTGCAGGAGCATTACCTGAGCACAGCTCCCACTACAGCTGCGGAAAAACAGCTGGATTTGCAGCTGCAGCATGAAATACCCACTGCTGCTGTTACAAGCCTCTGAATCCAGTTGCTCTGAGCATCCACCTGCAATAGGGTTTGCACGTTGGCACTCATCCCTCTGCATGCAAACCTGTGAAACGCTCATAGGAAGTTGACCCAAAGCCCTTTTGCTTTCCTGCTAGCTCATTTGGAGCACACATTTTGTTGAAAAACCCCACTGAAGCATAAAGGCTCTACATCCCAGCACTTTCCAGCAGCCATTTCCCTGATGATGCCTGCATAGAGCTGCAGCAGCGCAGTGGTTAACCCTCTGCTTTGCATCCCCAACCTCGTCAGCTTCAATCACAGTGCAGAAGCAAAACGGATGGGCGAAGGACAAAAACTCCTTGACTTCTTTGCAAGAGAAAGAGATTAAGGGGGTGGAGCTGCTCAGCGGTAGTTTTGCAAGACCCCAAAATCCAGTGTACGTTCTGCGCCATCTGCAAATTACATCCAAAAACTGCTGCAGCACCCCAGAACCTCCCAAAGCATTGCATTAGCCAACAAAGGCATTTCCCAATGTGCAACAGTAGGATTTTCCCATGAGATGCCTCTCCCACAGGATAAGCAGGGCCATAAGGAACCTCATAACCTTATTTAAAAGTCTCTGTTGCTCGTAATGGGAGGCACTTACCCCCTCGGATCCATCATTTGGTTTTATTGTTGGTAATAACTCCCGGAAAGTCCTCAACAGATGGAAATTTTATTTGGTTAATCATCACCATCTGAGTTGCTGTGGGAAGGCGCTGGTGGAGGGAGCAGAATGGGGGCAGAGATGGGGCTGTACCCAACCCAAATCCCAAAGCAGGTAAACCCACAGCGCTGCACCTAACCCCCAGCCTGACCCACGAGTTCTGCATGGCTCAAAGTTCACAGAGAGCATTACAACGCTCCTCGGACATAGCATCCTTCTGCAGCAGACCCCAAGAGATTGCAGCTGGCAAACAGCAATGCCAGCCCATTTCTGCTAGGCACACATTATGGCAAAGTATATATTTATATCTATAGGAGGAGGGAGTGCTGCATAAGCCTCCCTGTCACTGCTGTACATGTGTAACCATGTACAGATATCCTAATTTTTTTAAATTATTTTTGTAAGGCTGATTCCCCTGTACACTGCAAATCTGCTGCTCCTCTTGGGCAGCACATGGCCCTACAAGCTGGAGCTGCTGCAAAAGGCTGCACTGAGAACCCAATGGGTGGATTCAGGGCATGATCCCAAGAATTTGCATTCAGTTGTGGGATTTCTGCAAGAACTAAGCCCAAATAGGGCATGTGTATTGATATATAGGATGGGAGGTGTAACTCATTTCAAAGGCTTCATGCCCTGGTAAAAGATTCCTGAGTGTGATAGGGGGCCCCAACCAACCCACACCAAACCAAACTCAATCAATAAATCACTATACAAAAATCCATTTGGTGCAATAATAGAGGGTTGGGGTTGCATCCCCCAAAGCAAAAAGCATTCGGGGGGGGAGGGGGGAAGGTTGGGGAGAGAGCACAGAGGGAGGGGATTAGAGCCACTCCTGCCCAGAGGAAAGATGAGCTCATTATCTGCAAGTTAAGCTGGATTAAACCTAAATTGCAAGCCAGCAGTGTGGGGCAGCACCAGGGGCAATGCACTCTGCCTTGGTTGCAATATAAAAACAATAATTTAAAAATACTCTGAATTCAACTTTCTCCCATTTTTCCTTTCCTTTCCTCTCACCCCTTATCTCCTCACTAGGGGATAGTGCTGGGGGAAGTGTTGTGTTGGCACTGCTGAGCCCATGGGATTTCGCAGCTTGCTGCAGCAAGGAAAATATTGACAAAGAAGAGCTGCTTTGTTAAGTCTTTATATCAGAGCAAAGCTGACTTTCATCCCACTCTGCAGCCACTTGTCGCTTTGGATTGAATAATTTGGACATTGCCAGCATCTTAGGGCTTAAAAACGCTGCACCTTCAGCAAGACCCCCATTCCTTTGCAGGGAACGCCATTCTGTACAAGCGTGCCCATACGTACAGCAGAGGTGGAAGACTGGAGGAGCAATTGCTGTGCCATGGTACTGGTGTACATTATCTAATTCATTTTCAAAGGCATAGGGGCAGCAAGGAAGCATGGTAAGCTTGCTCACTGAGCTGCACGCATGCAAATACACACATATAAATACATACGCTCATTATCTGGATGCTCCTAAACACGAGTGGGGAGAAGCAGAGACAACCAGCTTGGTGCCATGAATGTAGCACCCACCATAAAGCATTCAACCCTCACCATCCCCACCCCGCATTTCCACAGTGAGTTACTTTCCGCTTTTTATTGCTCAGGTCTATCATCCCTTCTAAGTCTCAGCTGAGCCTGTCTTCAGGGCAGACCTTCCTTTGCAGCTCAAAGTAATTCCTTCTTTGCTCCTCCACCCTCCCTAGGGGGGCTCCTGTACAGTTTGTTATTATCACTATTAGAAAATCTGTATTTTTTTAAAGGATCTCCTCCAAAGGCATCCTTGGGGCAGACCACCCCCTCCACCTTGCTGGGAAGGGACCCTTTGATATCCCCAACCCTTGCTGAAACAAATGCCCCGTTCCCCAACCCCCTGCACAGATAACAACCTCCCCTTCGGGGGGGAAAGGTCATTGATGGGGAGAAAAACCTGGGAGGCATCAAAATACTTTGATTAAAGGCAATGGAGAGGGAGAATTTTTTCAGTAATTCAGTTTTCTCATAGCTAATCCAGGGCACACCACCATTATTTACCACCGCATCCTTTGCGGTTGCAACCACCCCACCACAGCTGCAACACTTCGCAGATTTTTTTTTTTTACCCTACCTTTGACAGAGACAGCACACAATAAAAACCCCTTAAAACTATTTTCTGCTCCTCCATCATTTGTCTTGGAAAATCAGGTTGGCATCTCCCTTCAATGCCAAACAATGAGACACCCCCTCACACAGGGAGGTTTAGGGAGAACAAGGAAATAAATGCTAGTTTGGGGGCTAAAAGCCCCTAGGGGCTGCTTCATCCCTTTCCCAGCCTGCCCCCACAGCGTGGGTTTGCAGAGCGCATCCCTTCCCCAAAAATAAACCCCAGTCACGGATCATCTCCAGTGCTGTCAGGTTACATTTAGATTGCAAAAGCACTCAGCGGCTGCACCCGGGCTGAAAGCAGGGCAGGGCTGCTGCTTACTCAGCCCTGCATCCTGAAAAAGCATCTGCTGGTGGCTAAGCAGCCCACGCCACCCCCTGCCCCAAATTCTTCAGCCCCAAATCCCCACCGAGTGTTGGCCCTATAAGCCAGTCCCGAGGGAACATAATGAGCTTCACTTGGGAGAGCAGGCCATTAATTTCTCAACTTCATTCCCTAATGACTCAAATCAGGGAAGGGCCATGAGCTGCCACTGAGGTCATCTGGAGCTGGTGACAGCAGAGACAGCCTGGTTGTGGGTAAAGGTCTGGTCCTTGTCTGCACTGGGACACCCGTCCTGCATCCTGCCCATCTGCATTGCACCTTTAGGAGATGCCCCCAGGGAGATGCCGTAGGGACAACCTGGAAACACACCACTAGGACACTCCCTAGGAGATGACAGCGTGGCAGCATTGAGACAAATAACTATTAAGTACTTGAGAAATGCCACCAGGGCACCTTTGGCATTTACCACCATGGCACCCCTGGAACATATCTCCATGGCACACGCCATGGAGTCAAGCACTTGAGAGATGCCACCAAGGCCTCCTTAGGACCTACCATCATGAAACCCCTGGGAGATGCCACCAGGGCACTTTGAAACTCCATAGCACTCTGAAGGAGATGCCACCAGGGCCCCTTTGGGACCTACCACATCCACATAGCTGCACCCAGCTATGTCAGCATGCTTGTGCACAAACTATCCTGATAGGGGAAAAAAGAACAGTGAGAAAAGAGACACTACCTCTTTGGCACCATCCCCCATCAGCATAAAACTGGTTTCCACCAGCTTCACAGCTACTACGGGATGTCGCCAACCCCACTGATACCATATCATGTTTCTGAGACAGGAGGAAAACTTAATCAGAAAAAACTTTGAGGGCAAAAAAAAAAAGAATCCCAGCAAAGCACACCTGATGGCTAATTAGAAAAATACTCAAAAATTGGTGCAGGGCAGATAATCTTCACTTGCCAGCAGCACACACCACACCTTCCCATTTCAAGGTTGAGCTGCTGGGAATATCAATCTGATAATTGTAGTGCTACAAATGAAAATCAAATTGAAGGCAGTTAGAGAATCACATTATAAATTGATTTAGTCCACAGACAAGTTTCCACCTCCCTGGCCTTGGGATTCTCTGTGTGGATGGAGAGGTCTGAGTATCAGAGAAGAGAGATAGGGCACCTTTGGAAGTGGTGGAGTCACTGTTCACAGTGGCTTTCAAGAGACAAAGATATGTAGCATTTGGGGACATGGTGGCGATGGGCTGATAGTCAGAATTGATGTTTTTAGAGGTCTTTTCCAACCTGAATTATTCTATGATCCCCTCTGTCCATTATCCCCTCCATCCCACACCTTTTCTGGGGAGGAAAAGGCAATTTTAGGGCTGCTTCTTGATTTCTGAGCATGAGGGTCATATCAACTCGTTGGGATACTGTTGACAAAGCTGGAGAAAGAGCTGCAAGGGAAAGAAAACATCTGACAAACAGGCTACAAAGTATTGCAAGGAAACATGCTGATTCCTATGGGATTTATTTCCAGGCTGAATTTCACCCAAAATTTCCTGTCCTCCAGAAACAGCTCCTATGCTCCAATGGGAAGTCCACAAACCAGTTCCCAAAACACTGTACATGTAATCCCAAATCCTCACTTCATAGTCAAAAAAGGGCTATTTCAGCAAAACCCCGTTTCAGCACAGCCAGTATCCAATGAGCGCTCACACCTCTTCTTTATTTCTGCATCTCCAAGGGCCCCAATATATACAGATTCCTTCTTTATACAGCTCATAATATACACCTTATTTATATATATATTTATAGATATTCACACGCAGACACACAAATGCCTTCAAGCACAGCCCCAGTGCCTCCAAAGCCCGCAAGGAGGTCATTGCTTTCCATGTTTAAAAATTTCCCTCTCCCAGCATGCAAAGTGGGGGTTTTTTTGAGGGGGGAAGGAGGGGAGTCAAAAATGACAATTTTTATGGTGTTTTTCCTTCCAATATTTTTTTCCTTATTTCTCCTTTGGAAAAAAAAAACATAATAGGGGTGGTGCACTCACCAATGCGACCGCCCCATGGCAGCGTGTAGGGTGGCTTTGAGGTAGGCGCCGCGCGGGCATCCCCCGGCTGCTATAGCATCAGAGGGAGCTGCCAGATGAGCAGAGTGCTGTCAGCATCACCACCCCGGCGCTGCGGCTCAGAGTTGAAGTTACGGTACCCTCTGCCCCCTGAAATGATGGCGACAGAGGAGATCTCCTTGCGGGGAGCATCGCGGGCGCAGGGCCGGCTCCGGACCCACACATCGGGATCATCGGCCATCTCGTAGATGGAGCCATCTTCTTCTGTGTGCTCTGGAGTAACAGTCCCAACTGGAGCATCCCGCACTGACAGCAGCTGCCCAGGGAGGTGGGAGGTGGAACGGAGGCGGTATTGCAACAAGATCCCTTTTTTCCTTATTTCCCGTGGTGGGGGTCCATCCAGCTCTGGGGGTTTCTCTTCCTCACCTTCTTCTTCCTCTTGGTCTCCTTTTAGTACATCGGGGGCCAGTGTGCTCAGTGCCACAGCCAAGAAGTCCACAGGACCACCATGCCCATTGAGGGACACCATGCCTTTTCCTGTGCAAAACAGGGATTTGAATAACAAAGAACTCAAATGCTGTCTTATGAAGAAATTTCTGGGGTGCTCACCAGTGATTTTGGGGATGCCCTCCAACCGGGGCACGGGCAGCAGAACAATGATGCCCTGGTCAGTGCCGACCCACAGCAAGCCCTGACAGATGAGCAGGCTGGTGACACGGACATGTCTTTGCCCTGAAAAAAGGAAAAAAGGGAGAGAAGAGGCTTGCAGCAGCACTGTCCCCTTCAAAGTGGATAACTGCCCTCCCAAAACCGAGCATCATCCATGCATGAAGATCTCTGCAGAAGGAAAAATGCTGAAAATATCAATAAATATATAAAGGAAAAAAAAAAAAAGGAAGAGGAGCAGAGATAAGTGAGGCTTCTAATGGCACATAAATATTTTATCACAGGGACTTTGCGCTGCAGCGTCGCACTCAGTGAAGCAATATATCTGCGGAGATGTAACTCCAGTTCTCGGTGAGAACTTTATTAATGGGCTGTCTGGTTAAAAAGGATGAGGGAGCATGAGTTCAAAAATGCATTAATACCCAATGCTCACTTGCCCAGGAAGAAAAGGAAGTGATAAATATTTTAATATGCCCTAAAAAAAAAAGAGCAACTTACATGAGTAGCACGCGTATAACTAATTATGCAATTACAACATTTTGTAGCTGGAACAAGTGGGAGGCAACCTTGCAAGCCCAGGGCTGAGCCTTGTCCTTTCCTTGGCACATCAGAGCAGCTAAGAGCCAAAGAGGTGGAAAGAGAGGGCATGAGGTAGAGGTGTGTATGAGCAAAAGGGTATGCAAGGCTGCAAATCTAGGTACGTGGATGCAAAGATGGGGCACATTCATGCATGCACAGACGCACACAGGTATAACGATGGGGTACATGGAAACACTTAGGAGCAAAGATGGATGCAAGGATGGGGTGCATGAATGCATATAGCAGGTGCAAAATGGAGTGCACACATGCATGCCTGGGAGCAGGAGTGAGATACATGGATGGCATGTGTTGATGCACACACGTGCATGAATGGGATGCACAAGTGTGAAGAGTAAATGCATGAATAAGTGTAAAGTGCCGAGACTGGATGCATGGATGAAGGGCTCCCAGCTATCCAGCAAAGCTCAGACTTGCTAAAACCCTACTCAGACCTGTCCAAGCCCATCCTAAAGCTCCTGCAGCCTAAAAACACCCTTTTCCCTCAGAATGTTAGCATTTTTCTCTAGAGCTCTCAAGTCTTCAGTGATGCTCCCAGCTCCATCCCTACAACCCTACAGCAGGTTGTCACAGGACAAAGCTCCAACCTTTCCAGCAGATAAACTCCCTGCACAATTTCTCTGCAAAGCAAGGCACCTGGAGGATAGATACCCCAGGTTTTTCATTTACTGGGATGAGGAGCCCCACCTGGGAGGACAAAGGTAGTCCGGGTGGCGATGTTGATTTCCTGTAGGTGCTCCAGTGTCTCAGTGTGGAAGAGGCGAATAGAGGAACCAGAGGAAAACGCCATCCAGACGCCACTGCCTGCCTTGATCATGTGTGTCACGCTGGCCTCTGTGTCTGGGTGAGCCTCAAAGGTTTGCTGCCCAGAGGGAGGAATCAAGATAAGTCAAAATAAAGAAGAAATCTCAATAAAAGTTGTTGCTTGGTTGGACTCTCTAGAGATTGCTGTAGGGCTGGAGACTCATACTGGGAGGGGAGGAGGTGGGATAGAGGTCCTGGCCTTCCTCACCAGCTTTGCTTTTAGCAGACACCAAACTCAGCCCCTCACCAATCTCCTCTTGGCTCTGTAGGGACACAATTCAGCCTTTCCCACCACTCTCTTTCCCTGTTCTCCTTTACAAGACTTTTTGCTGGACCGAGGTGCATCTTTCAAGATTACACCAAGGTGGAACACCTTCCTGCCTTCCTCCTGCACCAGAAGCCAGCAAGCAAAGCCTCAGCACCTGCTCAGGACCTGCTTAAGGTACCTGCTTAGGGTTTGGTGGTGCTGATGACTTCTGAACAAGAGGAACAGAAAACAGAACATCCCCCTCTGACATATTCCAACACAACCAAAACCCCAACCATCATCACATTTACTTGTTTTCTACCCATTTTACCACCTCCCTGCTGCAGTGAACCCTCACGAACCCTAAATATCACACTGCAGAGCATTGGATTTATGGATTTGAAACCATATTCATGAAACAAACTCCCAGAGAATCTCCCAAGCAGCAGGTTAGGCATAGAAACTCAGGCTAGCATTGTAGGCAGGTTGGGAATGGCTCTAGTCTGCAGATATGGGATGCTCTGGAGGAAAGTAGGCTGTGATAGTATGACAGAGCTGAGAAAAGGGGAAGTTTAGGGGTTAACATGATGGAGGAATCTGCTGGGAGCAGGAGCGTGGCTGCAGCACGCATTGTGCATGCTTTTCCAGACGCTGGTTTGCTGCTTAACTGCAACTCCAGAGTCTTGCTGCAATGCAGCTCCTGCTTTCCACAGTGCAGCAATGAGCCCACAGTGCTCACTGTAAGTTGGTGAGCAGCATGCAGGATTGAGTCAGCACCATGCACCCACTTCAACGTGACTTCCCTTGTGGGCTTGAAATTTTGCTTTTAATAGAAAAGGAGCAGCAACAGAGCCCTCTCTGGAGAGCATTAGTGTGGTGCAGCATCCCAACATTCTTGCACAAAGCAGAGGTGGATGAAGATTATTAGGTCATCTCCCCCTTTCTCCCATCCAGCGTGGTATTTATTCCCTAGGGCTACATTCCCAAGCTGCTATTTATGGACCTGAGTTTGCAGAGCTGCTCTTACACAGGACAAGTGCAACTTCCCATAGGGAATCCAACCCAACTCAGACAAGCAGAGAGCAGCAATTGGAGCTGTAACCCACTGCTGCACGCTATCAACCTGCACTGAACCCCAGACCCCATTCCATCCCCCCCCCATAGAGCTGCTCAGTGCCACTGGGCATCGCATCACCCAGACTGTGCCTCTCTCTTTTTCTCCCATGTTTTTCTTCTGCAAGAATTCCCACCTGGCTCCTGCCATAAATAAGATCAGAGACAGAAAACTAATACAGTCCCCTGATGCATTATTCATCCTCAGCACTGGTTTTAGGATGGATTTATGACAGCTAATACATGCAAACTAAGTTTAGGTACTAAATTTAAAAATTAAAGGTAAGAAAGGTTTTTTTGTCTTTTTTTTTTTTTAAATAGAGATGACTACTCAACATTCCTGCTCACACAGCTACAGGAAAGCTGTCCCAAAAGGGGCACAGGGGGTGGTGACGATGCTGGGTGCTCCCGAGGTACCTGAGCACAGAGGGTGGAGGCATCAAGGACGGTGACCTGGTTGGCACAGCTGGCCCATAGTGTCTCATCCAGCATCAAGAGTGCTTGCACAGGGCTGGTGCCCACAGGCAGGCAGGTGGGCTGCTCGGTCAGGTCCCACAGCCCCACTAGAGCAGAGCACAGAGACCAAGACTCAAAATTAGGGGAAAAAAATAGATATTTTCACACAAACCCAACTGCAGCATGTGCAAAGAAGTGCTAGCACCGGGCTTCCCTACTGCAAAAATGTGTCCCTTTGGGTGCTGGGGTCACCTCCTGCAGCTCCAAATCTCAAATCTCAATACCATCACTGTGAACACAAGTGTGAGCTCTGCCCCAATCCCTAAGAAGTCACATAAGCAACATTCAAGCCTGGGACATGTGGCCATCATCTCCCTTTCATCATTTGCATGAAAAAATAAAGGATGGGGCAGTGTGCACAGGCAGCAGACTCACCCAGTTTGCTGCATTCAGAGCTGGGGATGCTTTGCTCCTATGCAAACATCCCCTGGCAGCTGCATACAGCCACAGCTGCACAGCCACCTGCAATGCTTGGGCACAAAAATTGTTGTCACCTGCCCCCCCCCCCAACACACACACCTTATTTTTTTGTTTTGACTCCTAAACTGCTACTCCAGAGTTCATTCATCTGGGGCCAAACTGGAGTGTCTCAGTGAAAGAGATCCAATCTGGGTTCCCATGAATTCACCACAACCAATGGGTAACTGCCGTTGCTTTCAAGTGGGCAATCTATTTCCATTGCAATTTTAAAACCAGATACTCAGGATCCCAGAATTTAAAGAGCCCTGAGGCTGTCAAAGCTCTGCTCCCAGTAGCAGGACTTTGCTACTGAACAAAGCATGCTGTAGGTGGGCTCTGCTCACTGCTATTTCAGGAAAGCTTTGCTCTAATGAAGCCAACACAGCAAATTTGCAGAAGATAGGGAGAACATATTTAAGAAGAAAAAAACCAACCCTACCAGCAGCTTGTTGCCTTTCACATGCATTTGTGCAATGAAGGGGAAATCAAATCCATGCTATGCACTAGCTTGCACACTTGTTAAGTGATAAAGTGGGTACAGAGCACCTTAAAACGCACTATAAACAGCTTTGGTACTTCTTCTTGTGAGCTAATGAGTTGCTGGGTTTTTTTTGTTTTTTGTTTTTTTTTTTTTTCCCAGATCAGAGTGCTATTTGAGGCCTTTTTCTACCCTCTAGTGATGAAGCAGAGAAAAACAGCAGGGAAATGACTCCAAGAAATCCTCAAACGCCACTCTCAAAGCAAAATCTCTGCTGCTGCTTCTCCCCCTTGTTGGCCACTGAGACCACACCCAAATTGAGCCCTATTCATTATGTCAATGCAAAATGCCATCCCCCACCATCCCTCAGGGCTGCAAAACAGGGGATGAAATAGTGCAAAAATGGTGCTTCCAGCACTATTTTAGCAGCCAGCACACTCAATGCATCCCACTCCCCATTTCTGTGCTGTAGCGTCACAGCAAAGCACAAACAGTGTTGCTATCCTCACCATTGTTCCTCGGGTATGCAGCCACTGTCCCATCCTGGAGCCCTGCAAACAGGTATTCAGGGCTGTGCTTCAGGCAGAGGACTGGCTGCATGCCAGGGCTCTTGCAGGTCAGCAGGCACTGCGTCCCTGTGTCCACGCTGCTGTACGCTGCAATGCTAGTAGGAAAAATGCAAGAACAGGATGCAGAGCAGGACGTGCTGGTGGTCATTGCTTCAAAATTTTGGTGCAGTGCTCCTTTGCAGTAATTGCATACAGAAGACGGTTGCAGCAGCAGTGGATGCACAATTGCACACCCCCACATATGCACAACTGCACACTGATGCTCACCTGCCATCCCGCAGTCCCAAGCAAACAGTGGGATGCAGAGTTGCAGGGGGCTGCTCAGCACCTGCTCGGGACTCTTCGGTCGCTTCTGTGTCCCCCTCAGCTGCCTCGGGGACGTACTCCATACACAGCACTGGCGATGCCACCGGAAAGGATTTTACTGTCCGTGGCACCGAGCGATTGAGGGAGAAGATCTCCACTTGTCCCCCTGCACCTTCCTGACCACCCCCAACCTGTGGGGATCACAACAAGTTTTAGCATCTTGAGGGTGGAAATAACCCAAATCTAACGTTTTTTGCCCCATTTTGCTCACCCAGAGGTAGCCCTGCGGCAACGAGGTGCTGACAGCAGAGAAACCCAACAGTGAGGATTGCACAGGGTTGTGCACTGCAGCGCTGAGCTGTAGGAGACACATGCATTTACCCCACACATGCCCCAAAATCAAAACCCTACCAAAGCCCAGCTTCTATTTCTTCTGTTTGTCCCCCAGCCAGAGCAGACTGTATCAATTTCTGACAAACAATATGGTCATCCCCTCCCAACCTGTCCACCACAGGATTTCAGTGTATTACCAAAGGGAAAGAGTCATATGGCAGATGAACAATGCTTTCACCTGCAGATCGAGGGCTTTGGAGGAAAAGGCAGGCATGTGGCAGGAAAGGATGGGGCACCAGAAGGGAGCTTTGCTCTTCTTATCTTCATCGGGACAAAGCCAGCCCGGCTGGTTCTCCTCCCCTGTAGAGAGCAGAGTAGATTAAGGACAGCCCCCAAATAAGCATGATTGGGTGCAGCAGGAGATGCAACATCACCCACTCCAACACCAGCCTTTGGAATGCAGCAAGAAACCACCATCCATGGTGGGCATCCCAGCACCTTCTCCAACTCTTGCCCAAGCAACCACGTTAACCAGCATCAACACCCCCTACTCACCCCCACAAATCATGACAGATATGGAAGGAAAAACCTAATGTATTTCTCCACATCAGGCTTTAATGCGTTTTCATTTCAAACTCATGGATACAGGATTATCCTCCAGGCATCACAGATAAAAAAAAACAAACTGCTCTAAACAAGGAAATCAAAAATCATTTGAAATCGTGTTTGAGTGCTTGGATTCCCTCTGGGCTGGAATGATTTTTCTGCCATTAAACTTTCTTTTTTTTTTGCTGCAGTGACTCATGGTGTTAAATGGGAATAGACATATGGAGGTATCAGGAGGAAGGACTCTTCCCTTGTTATTTGCCCTATTTCATTAGAAAACAGAACAAAGACAGCAACAACGACAGCATATGGCCAAGTTGAGATACATCACTAAGCATCTCAGAGATGCCACTCAAAAACATCAAAACAAAACATTTTGAGGAAGGAAACACCATTTCCCACTTCTAACCAAACGCTTCTCCTAGCACCTTCATCCCACCTTGTACCCTGCTCCCATTTATTCATCAGGATGCAAACCCTTCTCTGCCCCCAGATTTTGTTTTTAGAAGCAATACCACTCCAACAGGTACTCACGCAACCCAATCTTGGCCAGGTGAAGGCAATTGACCCAGGAGATCTTGCTCAGTGGATTTGGAGTGATGAATACCACCATGACACTGATGGGGCGGCCAGATCTGTACGGAAAAGTCATTAGGTTGCCTTCATCCTTCTCCTCCTCCTCTCTGGAGGAGATGTAGCATCAGGCAAAGCCCCCATCTATTCCGAGAATTGGGAACCCACTTGTCTGGCTTGCCAGGCAGTAGGAGGCGGAGGCGGCACTTGTTGGCAGAGTGGATCTCTTCCTCCTTCACCTTCATCATTCTCTGCAGGGCCAAGCACCAGTCTTGGGCCACTGTCATGTTCAGGTTCTGAGGGAGAGAGAGGAATGGTGGAAATACCTCCAGAAGCCTGAATCCCCAGGATCTATCTGCAAGTCAGCTGAGGAGCTCAGGAACCAACCACTCATCCATCCAACAAACCACTGAATGACCTGGGTTGTGAGGGACCATAAAGGTCATCCAGTTCTAGCAAGATCATTTAAGAAGGAGTGACAGGTATCCATGGGGCTAGCACAGAGCATTCAAATGAGCCCCTGCAGCTCCCCAAGTCAAGGCTTAGCAGGTTTTCTCCCAAAACAGCAAGAGATTAGCCCCCAAAATGGCAGTGCTTGGGTCCCCCAGAACGGTGGGAGCTTTACCAAAGAGCTAGCATTTTGGTACCTGGTAGGTGCCATGCAGCGTGCTGATGAGCAAGGTGATCTGTTCCACCACCGCCAGGTCCTTCTGTAGATCCTGCAGCTCCTGGAAAAGCCGCGGTGGCCCCAGGTAGACCTTATCTTGGGAGAAAAAAGAAAAAGGGAAACATGCAGGATTGGAAGTAATGTTGCCCATACCCCAAAAATCATGTGGCTCGGGGCCAGGTGCTCACTGTGCGAGGCCGGCCCAGTGGGTGCGTGCTTCTTGGCACCAGCGTTGTGGATGACCACATTGTCCTTGTCGTAGGCACCGCTCTCCTGCCCCACTTCCACCACCTGCACCTGCGGGAGGGCTGTGCTCCACTTCACCACATATTTGGGGCCCAGGGGTACCAGGCTGCTAATTTCCAGCTGGCCTCTGCCAAGGGAGGATGTGAAATAGCAAATCAATAGGCAGCTGGTGTTGCTCATCCTACAAACCCCACTGGATCCCCCCTGCAAAAAGCAGATGGTGAGCACAGGTTGCAAAAACCATGACATGCACTGGCACATGCCTGCACCCCCAAAGATGGGGCACAAACACAGCAAGCCACACTCAATGCCTACCTTGGGTTCACTGGCCTGGATGGGGGGGAAATGTTAATAAGAATGCATTACTGGAGGCAAGAAGAGGTTTTATCCCTTTCCCTTAGCAGCACTATTCCACAAGACCCCAAAACTAGGGAGGTCCCATAGGATCACTGCACAGATGCTCAACAAAAGGATTTGAGGGCAAAATAGCCCCAAATTTGGGCCTCCTCCTCCAAAGCAAGGTTAAGCAGTTTGTGGGTGTACAATCAACAAATACACAATTAGCAGAGCAGCGTGGTTAGGCTAGTATTTTACAGGTCAATTACCTAGAAGGATTATCACAGTGGAAAGGGATAATCAATAATAAATGAAAATTCTCACCCCTATCCTAGGCTCACAGAAAAAACTCCAAAGGGAGGGATCTCCAGAAAAAGATCCTTCCTCAGTGGCAGTCAGCCCTTAAATAGTGTCTAGGAGAGGTGCAGCCAGGCTCCACCCCTTCTGATCACACAGCTGAATCACCTTCACCTGTGCTCCCGCAGCTGACTCAGTGCTTGCCTCAGGTGATCAGAGGTTCAGGACATGATTCAACTGTTCCCACACACAGGGTAAGGCTAGCAAAAACCTTTAAGCCCAAAATAAAAGTGGGGAAGGGGAGAGGTACTTTCGCAAAGTGGCTTGGGGTGCTGGCACGTACTTGAAGTTGATGTTGGCACAGACCAGCATGTCGTTGAGGAGGAAAACCTTCCGCTCCTTGGACTTGATGAGCTGCCCCCGGTCACCATACACTGTCTCTGTCAGCGTCTCACAGAGCAGGAGCTGCCGCTGCCCTGAGTTCAGCAGCTGCAGGAGGATACAGCAGGTAAGGGGCTCAGCCCCAGGGCTCTTGTGTGGTTCTTGCCCTGCAATTTGGGCTGCATTGGGTTTGTGCAACAATTCTCCCTTCCCCAGTGGCATGCACAGCTCCAAGCTCTGCAGAAATGCCTGTGCAAAATGCTCACTATACAACCCATGTGCACAACACCCCAATGCAATGCCTGTGCAAAAGGTTCCAGCTTTGGACAACACAGACCCTTTGCACCACAGTGCAACCACTTTGCATCAAAGAGCAACCCACTTTGCATGTGAATTCCACTCTGCCAAGAGCAAAGAGTCCTCAAGGATCAACACGACCCTTCTGCAGCCCCTTTTGGGATTTGTTTTGTCCTCTGTGCCTAGATGCTGGCCTCTGGGTCAGGCTGCAGAGGCCACCACGTGCTCCTAGCGCAGCCCAGGATGTGTTGCAATAGTTTGGTGCAGGGTTTTCCACCAACGGTTGCAAAATCAAGCAGATGGATGGAGGGGAGGAGACTACAGATGAAAATTTCCTGAGTCACAGACTTATTTTTGCTTTTGCTAAATGCTATTGTGAAAACAAGAGCTCGGCTTCCCCAAAAGGAGAGCCCCAAACTTCAGCACTTCTGCAAACACCAATCAAAGGGGATAGCTGCAAACCCAGCCCTAAAATTCCCATTGCAAGGGAATGAGGAGCGAGGCTGAAACACGCACCTTACTGAGGCTGCTGCGGTCACTGATGCTTCTGCTGAGTTGCTGGATCTCGGCCACCTGGTCAGCCACACGTTTCTGCTCATTGAGCTTCTCGGCCAATGTCTCCAGCTCAGTGAGAGCCAGCTGGAGGGACAGGCGGTCCGCGTGACCCTTGGGGGTGTTCTTCAGCATGTCCTGGGGAGAGAGAATTCTCAGCATGGTGTCACTAGCTTCAACAAGCTCTGATGGAGGAAAACCCTCTGCTGGAATAGGAAAAGCCCTTAAGACCCTTTCACAAGCCCCAAGCAGGCTGCCAACCCCAAAACAAGCCCATTGCTGAGCCACCCTGAAGTATTGTGTCTGCCAAAGTGGGGTGCAAAGTGTGGGGTCACCCATACCTGTAGGAGAAGGATGAACTGGGGGAACCTCTGGATAGGTTTCACCATCAGCCCATAGAGTGTCACGCGATCAGTGCTGGCCATCTGCCGCTTCTACTGGGAGTGAAAAAAAAAAAAAAAAAAGGGGGGGGGAGGGCTTCACCCAAAATGGTGACCAGCAACTGCACGTGCCCACATTTAGGACCCACTGACCTTAAGGAAGTCAAGGAAGGCAGGTTTGGTGAGACAAGCCTTCTTGATAAGGGACATGGCAGTGGTGAAGTTGTTGACATAGTCGCTGTAGACATCCAGCACCATTGACTTGGAGAACTTGGTGCAAGGGAAGAATGGCAAGATTAGTGCTGTGATGCACCCTACAATGTGGCTATGGGTGCTTACACTGGGAGTACCCATGGAGGATGCATCACTTCAATCCTCCAACCCCATTGCTGGGAAGGGGCACTCAACTCTCCTCCTACCGAGGCCACAAAGAGGTCCCCAATCTTCTCAGCAGAGTCCCACTCAGCCACACGGGAGGAGAGGGCGATCTGGAACATGGAGTGGCACTGCAGAATCTCCTTCAGGCGGAAAAACACCACCTGGCATTTCCTGGCGCTCAGCACTTTGGGCTCCATCTCCATCAGCGGGTTCCTGTAATCCTACAATAAACAGCAGAACATCAGCATCCCCCAGATCCTTCAATACTCCTACAATACCCCCAAAAAGTGGGTCCCCCACCTGCAGGATGCGCTTCAGGGATTCCACATAGCTGCGCTCACTCTGCACGATGGAGCCCAGGATGTGTCGTCGCACCACCTGCAAATAAATGGGGAAGGGGAAAAGAAACCCCATGCAGAAGTGACCCCAGTTACACTGCTTTGTGCTCACTCACTTGTAAAATTATTTTTATTTTGAGATGCTCAAAGGGAAGGCGAAGGAGGTGCCCATCCAGCACCCACCTGCTGGGGGCTGAGCCCTGTGGGCATGGGGCCGAGTTCAGGCGGTGGGTGCTTCATGTCGGAGACTGTGACTTCCAGGAAACCTGTGTCCTCCTCCTCTGAGTCTCCTACCACCAAAAAGCAAAACAAAATGAACTTATTTCACATTTTTCTTGCAAGCTTCTTGGTGCTGAGCACACCCCCAGTCTAGAAGGGGCCATGCTGTGATGCTCCGGGGGCTCTGACTAGGTTTATGGCTGCCGGCACCGCCTGTCCTCAAGCACTGCAGCTGTCACCAGACACCAGCATGAGTCAGGGCTCTATGAGCCTAGGTGCTGTCAGATCCCAGCGGGAAGGGGCCAAATGCTCCCCTGAAAGCATCCCAGATTAGGGGACCCCCCCCCTGTTTCCTTCCTTCAAGAATGGCTTTGACCACAGAGAGGCACAAAAAAGCAGCAACGCAAAGCAAAGTGCAAAGCAAAAGCACAACACAAACCTCCTGGCATCCAATCCTGCCTTACCCGAGGCCGAAGCAACTGAGGAAGAGGAGGGTGAGCAGATCACGGTGTCATGGGGCAGGGACAGCTTTCTCTTCCACATGATGCAGTCACCGGCCCTACTATGGCCGCCCCAGCCCCCAGCACCCCGCTCCCATCCCTGTGCATATAAATAACCAGAGGGGAGGGCGCTGCCGCCCGGGTGACCTTTTTCCTTCCCTAATTTTGGAAGGGAGGATCCCAACGCATTGCTGGTGGCTCTGGGGAGCCACGCTGGGTGCTTTCCCCCCCATTAAAACCAGCATTGCATATGGGATGCTTGGAGCATCCTTATCACTAAAATCCCACCCCGGGATACCATCCCACAGACTGACAGCAGGGCATGGCACACGCAGCAGATCCCCAGTGGCCCCAGAGGGACCACCTAGCAGGATCCTACCTCGTCCACAATGCTCCAGTGACCCCCTTGAGATGCCAGGAGTGGGTGGTAGCTTTTCCGCATCTTTCACCCTTCTCCTATGCTCCCCATCCCCTATGGGGTATGAATCATATTTTGGATACCCCAAAACATTGCAGTTTTCCTTCTTTTGGCTGGAAAATGGGGCTGTTTCTTATCTTATAGGGAGAGTGCAAGGTGCCACCAAAACTAAGTAAAGATGTGGGAAAGGATCTGTTTACACCCCAAGTGGTGCATCCAGCCCCAAACCTCACCCTGTAGCACTGATGGAATAGATCAAGAAAACTGCAGAACACCTCAAATCTCACCAAAAATTCATCATTTCCTACATTGCCCAAATACTCTTTGGGCTGGTGTTGCCCTGAAATGCATGCAAATAGGACACCCATGGGCTGGATGCTTTAGGAAGGGCAAGGAGGGGGCTGATCAGAATAAGCAACGGGAAAAATGAATTAAAAAGCATGAAATGCAGAAAATAAATTGGAAAAAGAACAAGGTAGATTCCAAATGGATGTAGCTTAGTGAGCATGGTGGTGATGGATCAGCAGTTGGACTGGTTGATCTTAGAGGTCTTTTCCAATCTTAATGATTCTAGATAGATTAATATAAGCTTAGAAGGAGACACCCCACTCACCTGGCACTTCCTTACGGTGCAGGAAGGTCACCTTCCTCATCACTGCAATCTTGGTCTTCTCCAGCCCATCCCTGGTGCCACTTTTGGCTGCCTTCATCAGTTGAGTCATCTGAGCAAAAGGGGTTGGGATGCTCAATGTCACGCAGCACTGTGTGTCCCCCCACAATGCCTTGGAGACATCACACACCCCATTCTTCCCCAGAAAGGCTGAGACTGATGGGGAAGCTGAGGAAGAGGAAGGGGCTGAGCACCCAAGGGGCCACCTCTGTCTCCTTTGTGAGGACACAGCGATGTGCCAGCTTGCAAGCAATGCAGCAAAGCATGAGCATGCAGCCAAAGCTAAGAAAGGGAGGGAAGCATGACATGAGAGTACTGCAGCAGGATTTTGTGATTAGGGCCATAAAGGATGTTCACCCTTTGCTTTGCACCTGGACTTGCAGTAGTTTTAGTGCAAACTGAGAAAATCCCAGCATAAAACAGCTGCAAACCACCAACCTGAATGCTCTGAGGCAGGGAAAGGCTTTGCAATAAGTTCCTCTCCCACTCCCAATAATCTCCTTCCCAACCCTGTAGGGGGTAAAACCTTCTCCGCTCCACTTAGCACACCTGAACCTCGCTCTGTCCAAACGCCCCTTGAAAAATAAAAACCCGAACAGTTGATGGGGTGGGCTGATCAGTGACACAACTACTGGAAGGATGCAGATGGGATGGGGAAGGTGATAGTGACAGATGACCCCACGCCTCCAACCATCATCAGGCAAAATGGGTTGAATTGAGCACGAGTGCACTCATATCCCTACAGAGACGCTTTTTTCTCCCCTCAGGGGAATTCAGGGAAGGGACCGAGGAGGGACAGTACCTTCCAATCATACTTCTGCTTCAGCTCCTGCATGTCTTTCCCCCCAACTCTTAAAGCCAGGATGTCCCTCTTAGTCCTGGCGTATGTCTCCTTTAGTCTATTCAGGTCTGGAGAAAGCTGAGCCCCAAGCAAGCCAGGCAGGAGAAGGCAGAGGATGCAGAGAAGAGAGATTCAGGTGAGAAGCCAAACAATTTAAAAAAAAAAAAAAAAAAAAAGAGAAACCATGAAACCGTTCCAAAGCAGCACAACACGGGTAGTGGGTTCCCATAATCTGGCAGGGAAGGGGAGTAGGGGAGTGAGCAGGGAGCAGCAGCCATGCATTGAGATGCAAAAGGGAAAATAAAAAAAAGGGGAAGGAAAAGGATAAATAGAGAAATCAAATCCAAAAGCAGCACTGTGCTGATTGTGCATCATGTGAGAGCATGTGGAGAGCAAGCCCTGAGACATGTCCAGTAAACGCATGGGAAAAAAAAAAAAACAATAAATGAGAATAATTAACAGAGTCTCACCTTGGGCTGGAAGGAGGCCCGGTGCTTGGCTGGCTCAGCCTCTGGTTTGTTCTCCTCACCCGACTCCTCGCTGTAGCTCTCAAACTCACTGGAGCTCCAGCCCAGCTCCTCACCCCGCTGCACGTCCTCGTAGATCAGGCTGCGCCCTGTTAGACAAAACCCTGCTTTTCCCTATGGACTTGCAACCCCATCATCCCAGCTGCTTTTCTGCTGTTTTTCCCCTTTTTGGACCCGTCTAGCAGTACAGGATGTGGATTTTGCTCCCACAGCCTCAGTTTGCCCATCTGTGAAATGGGCGCACAGCCCCAACAAGAGGGCCTGGGGCTGCTCCTACCATCCTGATTGGCATCGAGATTCTCACAGGGGACGTCGTCATAAATCACATCGTCCTCTGCCGCCGTGAACTCAAAGCGATCACCTTGAGAAAGGGAAAAACAGGGAAACAGCCCCAGAAATCCGCATCAGGACCCAAAAATCCAGCAAGGGTGGGGAAACTGTTCCCCAATCCCACTGGGCTGGGATGTGGGGTTAGAGCTGTGTTCCCCCCCCTCACCGCAGGTGGGCCACCCACCCTGGTGGGCGCTTTTCCTCTTCCAGGTCTGGGTGTTGATGTCAGGGGGATCCTCACAGGCCTCCCCATTGCTCACACGCTCCAGCAGCCTGTAGGGAAGGCAAAGACACCATCAGTGTAAAACCCCAAGGGCGTCAAAAGGAGTTTGCAAGAGTCACCACTGTGCATGCATGCCCCAAACCCCACCACTCCACAACAAAAGGGGCTCACCCCCATTTGGCAAAATTAAGCACAGTTAAGCCCCCACCTCACCCAGGGTACAGACTCAGCTGCAACCTATGGAGGAAGTTTTGCACTGCCAGAAAAGCTGATGTGTTAAAGACTTGAGGTCTATGCCTCTGGCTTTCTGGCAGCAGAATTGCAAACTGCAAAAGCAGGGAGTCCACCCGGGGAGGGATACAGCTCGATACAAAGGAAGAAAAAAAAGTGCAAACAAAATGCAGTGTTTTGCAGAAAGCCTGCTGCTCCGTGGCTTGGAGACCCCACTGTTAGGACTGGCCCAGAAAAAAAAAACAAACACAGAGGGCTGATGCACAAGTGTCAAAAAAAGGCTTTTTTTTTTTTTTTCAATCTTTGTTCGACACAAAGCTGAAGATGAGGAGAAAGATGCTCCTCTGGACTTGGTTTCCCCATTTTGCTGCATCCTGCACATGCTCCTTGCTGTCAGATTTCTATTTCCTCCTATGTGCCTGTGTGCAAACCCACCTCAGGTACCCTGAAATCCCCCTGCAACACCCCCAAACTCTTGTGCGCTTCAACCTCAGATCCCATGCCCCCACAGTCCTTTCATAAGCAGCAATGAAGCAATGGAAATAAAATAGGAAAACTGAGGCACATCAGCATGCTGGGACATGCTAAGGAAGGGGGTGACCTCCAAAATCGCATTTTCTCCCCAAAACTACACATACCCTTCCTGGGTCTCTGGCACCAGCCCCTCTGTAGAGTAAAAAAGCAAAGAGAAACCAGGTTAGTGGCTGAGCTCTTGAGCTTGGCCAGCCAAAGTGGACACTTTGGAAACAATGGGACCTCACCGGTGCTGGAGCTGGTAGCACGGCGCCTGCGAGGAGGGGCCTGAAGGACTGCTCCCCTGCTTGGTTCAGTGGCTGAATCTTCGTCCTCCTCCTCGTCACTGTCCTCAAAGTCAAAGGCTTCGCCTAGGTCCTCCTCACCAGGGGGAAGCTCACTGGGGGGCTGTGAAGCAAGGACAGTACCTACTGTGGGGCAGGGGGGCAGCTGGGATGAAGCCATGGCACAGGGGGTCCACACACTCCACCTGGGCCCTTCCCTGAGCCTTTCCTGCAGGAAAGGAAAAGAAAAATGGATTCAGAAGATAGAGCAACCTCATATTCATCCCTTGGACATCCCCCAGGACCCTTCATCCTGAAGGACTGAGCCATGCTCAGGGAGTGGGAAGAGCCAAACATCTTCTGTGCAATCAATGGTTTGTCTGCTCCAGTAACATGAGATGCCCCAAAAGGTCACCAGGAGGAAGAGGAAGGGCAGAGCAGAATCTTGAGACTAAGGGAGGATGCAACGGGGGAGAAATGACAACAGGGCAAAATATGTCCCAAAAGCTGCAAAGACCCAAATGGGTCCCCAAGACCTGCAAAGAGCAAAAGGGATTCCAAAGCCCACAAAAACCCAAGTGGGTCCCAAAAGCTGCCACTACCCAGTGAACAACAGATACCGCCGCCATGCTGCAAAGAGACTAATCAGTTTTGCATTTCACCTGCAAAAAGAGCTGCAAAACCTTTTGGAAACAGCAGTAGTAAATCCTCCCCATGTGCACAAGTGCCCTATGCAACCCCAAGCCCTGGACTGCACATCTATGGGTGCTGTGGGAATGGGAAGCACGGCCCAATTCCATTGCAGTACTCCCCAAAAGCATCAAGCTGGCCTTTTCCTAGCAAAAATAAATTCTCATCTCCCCCCTTTACAAGTTCATATCGCCCCATTGGGGATGGGAAGCTCCAAGTTTATCCCTATGGACTCAAATCGAGACTCAATAGAAAATACACCCCCATAGAAGTGCCTCCCAAAAAACAAAGGATTAAAAAGCCACCTGGACACCACAAAAAGATGCTCCGGGAATTGCTCTGCTTGCAGCCTGGGTCCAGCACACCAATATTTCTTGCTTTCAGAGAGGAGGATGGCAATGTGATGCTCAGCCCAGGTCTGATCCCACTATAAGGTCAGTTACTGTTTTGACAGTTGACATAAGCTCCCATCAGCCCATGTGTCCCAGGGATGGTTATTTTCCCATTGCTATCATGGGGCTGCAGCCCAGCCATGAGCTTTAATTACATCTCCATAAGATGAAATTACAGCATTGCTCCTACCCGTGTTCTCAATAAGGTATCTTGCTGAGAAAACACATCTGGATAGGACAAGGTAGGGAAACCAATGTAATATTGGGATGATATCTTAGAAAAACGGATTTAAAGCCACTCAAATATGCCAGCCCTGTCTCCCTCCCAACTGGGGGAAATAAAAAAAGATGGATCTAAATAAAGCCACAAATGCAGGGCCAGCTGCTAAAGGCAGCATCCTCCTCCCGGCACTGGCACCCAGCCTCAGTATTTTTAGTTCTGTGCCCGAGCGACAGGTCCCAGCTGGTGGGGTGGCTGCCAGCCCAGGACATGGCCCCAAAGCTCTTCTTGGAGTAAAGCAGTTAAAAAGGGGCCTCCACCTCACAGGTTCCCAATTCCTGCCAATACAAATGAGACAGTGCATGGCTTGAGTTCTAGGTGACAGCACTGGCAAAAAGGACGTCCAGGTGCAGACCTAGAGATCCCAAACACAGCCCTTTGAGCAAACACACAGAACGGCAGCAGGCAGTGCTCCAGCCCCAGCCCATAAATCACCCATAAAAACGGGTGTGGGCAGCAATAAGGATCCGCCGCTGCTTCCTCATCCACCTCCTTATTGCTTCCTCCTGCCCATGGGACGCATGGACAGTGTCCCACTGCCACCTCTGGGCTGCCTTTGGGAAACTGAGCTTTGCTCCACCCCAAAAATAGAGGTGGAAGTTGGAAATCTGGGAGCATTTCCATGGAGAGCATCGCTCACATCTCTTGTTAAAATATTAAAATTATAATACAATATAAGATGGGGATCTCAACAATAGATGCAAGCAGAGTTTGCTTTAAGCATCAGTTGGATCTAAAAAAAATATACAGGATTTGATATAATACAGAGGTGCCTATAACAGCTGTACTTTAAGAACCAGTTGGGACCGTGCACTTAAGGGCCACATGTAGAAATTCTCACATTTCCAGAGTGAGGTGGAGAGATATAAGGGCTTCAGGGAGTGAAATGCAGAGATTTTAAAACTTCAGTTTAGGAATGAGTGCAATGGGGAAGAGTTACCCCGTGCTTTCCAAGTACTCAAATCTGGGATTTCGGGGCCAAGCATTAGTGATGACAGCCAGAAAGGGATGTTGAGTGAGTATTGTGGATGAAATAAGGGCAGAAGGTGGTATTTTATCCCCCCAGATTATCACTCTGAGGTTTTCTGCACCCAAAACTCAACCAAACAAAAATTCAGAATTCAACGCTCTTTTTCCTTTTCTCAGCAGCTCACTCTTGCCAAAAGGCTTTGGTGGATGGGAAAAGCTCCTCCTGAGCTGTGTTTGCATTTCTGCTTCAGAATGGCTCTTTTTGGGGCTCATATCCCACTGCTGTGTTTCCAGGCAGAACCCACAGCGACAGCACTGTGCTGTTCCCAATTTCCTTTTTATTTTGCTTTTCAGTATCTCTGATCAACCAGAAAATTCATTCCTTGGCTGCCGTGCACCATGAGAAGTGTGAATGCAACACAAAAAGCAACTCAAAAAAATCCCAAAACAAAAAAAAAAAGTGAAAATCAGAATTATGACCCTTAAAAAGACATTTAGAAAAACCACACAAAGCAGAAAACGTTTGCTTTTTGTTTTGTGGGTTTTTTTTGTTTGTTTGTTTTTTTAAACATAAGAGCATTCCTAAAATCAGAGCTGGGAGTGACAACAAATTTGAGTTGAGTCCCCAACTGCCGTCATTTCTCCCCCACACAGAGCTGCTTTGCCAACATATATTCCAGCACATCATAAGAAGCCTTTTCTCCTGCCCTATTTTTCCTCTTTTTTCCTGTTTCCCCCAATACTTTGGGCAAATCTTGCTTTGCACACCCAGCAGGCTAACTGAGACAAAGCTCAGAAATAAAACACATCTCCATCTCCTTTGCAAACTTTGTGTCCCTGCAGCACACACCACACCATGCCCCCCAGTGCAACTCCCCCCTCCAAAAAAACCCAAAATCACAAACAGGGGGAAAAGTGCAATTAGCATCAAGCATTGTATTTGCTGACCTTAGCAAAGCATGCATTAATATAATCATTGAGGAATATTATATGTAAAGGAGAAGCCCTTCTTGTCAAAATTAAAAAAACCATTACAAACAGCTTTGGAGCTGCTAAAAACCCTACAGAAATTTGGGGTGTTTTCTTCCAAATCTGCAGGAAAAAAATAAACTAGAAAACAATGCAGCCATGCGTGGGTGCAAACCCTGCAATTCAATTACGCCACCAAAGAAACACAGCTCCAGGAGTTGGTGCTCAGCACCCCAATGCTGTGTTTACACATGGGGGGGCTGCAAGCATTGCACAATTCGCAAACAGCGCAGAAAACAGGGAGGAATAGAACAGAAACGGGTGCAGAAATGGCACTGTGCAGCAGCAATAAGGGCCAACGCTCAGCATCCTCCTCCTCCTTCCACCCTCCCTCTTCTCAATCCTATATATCCATATGCAATAAAAATAAATAAATATAAAGGGAAAGCTTTTTCCTGCAGCAAGCCCCAATTGCTTGCAAAAGGAGAGTAGGCACGAGGCTACCTCCTGCCTACAGAAGGGCCACCACATTTCAATAAATTTAAGGTTATGGGTACATGGGGCCACATAAGTGCAAGTATACATATAGAGGGAATGGGAAGAGGGAAGGACGGGGGGAAGGGGAGAGGGTTGTGCTGACCTGGGAAGGCCGTGTCTCCTCTGCCTTTGTGTCCGCATCGGCCAAGCAGGATGGCAGTGGGGGCAGCAGCAGGCAGTGGGGGCCCTAAGGTTGCCCACACCCCTTCCAGCCCCATAGAAGGGTCCCCATGGTTGGGCTGGGGGCTCCCAGCTGGGGCCGCAGGCAGGCGGCGCTGGGGCTGGCGGAGCTGGGAGTGTTGGGCAGCGAGGGATGCCGGGATTTGGGCAGTTTCCCCCCCCTTTCCCTTCCCTTTTCCCAAAGCATCGCTGATTTACACCCTCGCTGCTACCAATCCAATCTGGTCCCCTTTGCCCCCCCGCCCCCTCCAAATTGACTTTTAACCCTTTGCATGCTGCAGCCCTGTTAACCCTCTCACTGCTGAGCATATTGTTTGTACAAAAAGAGTCCCCAGTCTAGCCTGAAGCAAAGCTGGTAGCGCAGGGAGAGGTTACAGTGTGTTACCAGATTTCCGAGAGAGACACATTTTCTCATCAACTTTCTTACCCCAAAGCCATTTGCTACAGATTGCAGCCCCCAAAATACAGCTGCTATCCACATGAAGTGCACCATGCTCCTATTTTGAGGGTATTTTCCCCAAAGCTGCAACATGTTGCCATGCGCAAGATTTGCAGCCTCATCTCTTTCCCATTCCCAGGGCAGCTGCTGGTTTCTGGCCCCGGGGAGAGGGGAAAAGTCCTTTTCCACCCTCCATCTCAAGAACATTACAGCCACAATGTTTGGGAGCAGACAGCAATGCCTCCTGACCTCAATCAAATGCTACAAAATCACTGCCAACCCACACTCACATCCATTGGCCCAGCAAATCTCAGCACCAAACTCACCACATTTCATCCTAACCGTTCCCCCCCTGCCACCCTCCAAACAACACACAGACCAAACCCAATAACTCAAAGCAGTGCAAAGGCCACCCCAGCACACTTGCATTTAATGCTTCATCTCTCTACAAATTTCCCCCAACCTCACCTGTTTCATCAGCACTGGGGCTGTGTTTTCCCAGCACAGGAAAGCCCCCCCTCCCCCCCGGCACACCCTGCTGCCACACCTCTGCACAACGCCTCTTTGCAAACGCAGGCGGTGGCTGCAAGGCCGGTCCCAGCCCCAACCGGATGGACAAGCCCAGCAAAAAATATATAATCACTACCAGTGCCCGTTGGGTGACTCAAGAGAACCATTCCTGCAGTAATGGCATCGCTTCTTGCTGCTTTGCACCCATTGAGGTGTACGTGGGAACAAGAGCAGTGCAGCAGTGAGGACTTTGGCCCCAACAGCTCTGTTTTCTCAGGGCTGGGTAACAACAACCCAGCTGCCACAATGCAAATTCAAGTTAATTTTTCTTGGTTTTTTTCATGTGTAGAAAATAATCATTAACAGTAAATCATAAGTTTCTGAGCTTCTCCAGAGGTCATCCCAAAAACTTTGCAGCAAGGTCTGAAAGCCTTCCTGCTGGTCACCCAAAAGAGCTCCACAAAAGCTGCAACGAAGACAGAAGTTGGCAAAGTGGTTCCCAAACGCCAAAACTTTTGCAGGCTGTTTGCACGCCTTTGCACCTACCAGAAGCACCGCACGCACCTACAATGCAATGCATGCATCTACAAAACGCATTGCACACACAGCATCAAGCAGTGGTTGCAATGAAATAAGGGATGTGTTGCACCTACAAGGCTCTGCGAAATGCTGAATGTATAACTGGACAGAACCATAGGTGCTGATTCAATGAGTCAGTATGGCCATGTGTGGGCACCTGAACACGTCCCAGCACTATACACACAGCAGTGGGGAACTGCACACAGAGAAGCAAAAGAAGAAGGAGAAGAAAAAAAAAACAAACACACAAAGCAACACCTAGGAGGAGAAAGCAAAAGGTCAGGGCGAGTACAGAAGAGCAGAGCCATGCTGCACAACAAGAGCATGCTCCTGCCCCAACCACGGGTTTTGCTTACCTAGTCCTTTCTGCCAATGAGCATTCTGCAAAGATGCAATAGCAGTTGAGAACTTCAAACAGCCAGGAAAGGGCTTGCAGGAAAACTGAATGAGCAAGCTGAGTACTGTGGTGGGCAGCTCTTAAATGAGCTGTTCTCATCAGTGCTGACTGAGTACAGCTGGTGTGATTCTGTAGCACCTATCCCTTGCAAGGCCTGCAATGGAGAGCAGCTGCAAGAAATTGTCATGCACAACCGAAGCATGCACAACTAAATGTAGAATGAAAACTGTGCACAGATAAAATTGTGCATGAGCAAACCCACTCACAACCAAACCCTGTACAGTCAAACTCATGCACAACCGAAACCACACATAGGGAATAGAGCTGGAGCAAACCCTGTACAATTCAGAGACCCAACCACACCATGGCATCACCTCGTGACCCCTTCCTGCTGCACCATGCTGGGTTGGGTGTGCAAAGCAAATCTTGCACCTCAAAAGGCTGCCAACCCCCAGCACATGCTCATTGCCCATTTCCTCACTGCAAACCCCCCTGCCATGCAAAGTTCTGCTGCTGCTGCGTGTGATGCAAACAACCCCATGTCATTAGAAATGCAAATTATGCCTATGGTGGGGTTTTTTTTTTTTTAGCAACGGGACTAAACGCACTCATTTCTCCAGCTCATCCTTGCTTGTGTTATTTGCTTGGAAAACTCAGCATGCACCAAATGCAACTTTGCAGATGCAATGCAGCAAATGAGCACATGCAAAGTGCTCTGGTTCCCACGCTGCACCCACCCCATTCCTGGGGCAGATTGGGGTGCTGGGTGCTTTGTGCAGGCAGGGTGTGCTGTAACCCCTCCACTTTGCAGTTGCTGAGGTTCTAGGGATGTCCCAGACATCATCTACTGGAGGTCCAACAGCTGCAGATGGATCTAGAGGGGGCTGCCAAAGCCCATCTGAGGGCATTTGGGGTGAAGTCGCTCCCCATCCAGCAGCCTTTGGGAAGAACAGGCTGGACCAGTTTGTCCTCATCCCAGAAAAAACCAGTTTAACCCTCAGTCTGATGCAACCGGAGTGGCCGCCTTTGCCAAAAAGGGAAAAACTCTTTGCAACTGAGGATTCTTTGATTCAATCCTATCGCAGGGATCTGGCCAAGATAGAGGCAAAAACCCTAAAGAAATGGGATTCGCTTTGTGCCTTGAAATCTCCCACTCCACCCAAACCCTTTATAACTCCATTAGCACACTGGGGAAAAAAAAAACACAATTTTAGAGTGGAGCAGCCAGCATTCTTTTAATCACACCTTTAAGATTGCATCCTGGAACCCCCAGATGAACAGGGTCCCTGCATTCCTGCAAACAAATCTTTCCATTTCCAGTGTTGACTGGAACAAGGTGCCTCAAAATGCGGCATGACATCGCCAGCGTGGGATATTATGGGAAAATAGCTGCTGTGGGCTGTAAAGGTAAATGGGAGGAACTTGGCCTCAGTGCAGCTGCACACTGAAACCCAACCCAGCAGCAACAGCAAGGAGATACTGCTGCTCTGCAAACGCCTTTTGCAAAGCCCAGCATTGCGCGGGCATCTTGGCGCCAATCTGAAAGTGTTTTCCCAATCGTGCTCCAAGAAACTTCATTTTTCCTTTTTGCACCACTGAAGAGTTAATCCTTTTGAAAATGCAGTTTTGCATGGGTTTGGCCTTCTGCAACATTTTGCAGACATTGCAGGTGACGGTGCACGAGGCATCGCCTATTAGCAGTCCCTGGGAGCAGGTCCCAAAACTGTCCATACGTTGCTGTGTGAAAATGCAGCTGCTGGGGAGAGTTGGGGAGCATGCATGCACCCACCTCCTGCAAAATCTTTGCAAAAAAAAAATCTTCCCTTGGCAAAATCTCAGTAATAACGAGGAGAGGTGCATCTTCCTTCCTGTAAATCTAGTAAGATGAATGACTGCATTTTCACTGTTTCCACGGGGAATGAGTGCATCTACCCTCTGTCTTCAAACTTTATTTGCAAAAAGAGGAATCAATGCTTCTTCTCTCTCTTTGCAAGGGGAGTGAGTGCATCTCCACCCTTACTTTACCATAAAAAAAAAAAAATAAAAAAATTAAAAAGGAGTGCATCTTTGACCCTGCAAAAAATCTTTCATTGCAGTAAATGGAATGAGTGCACCTTCTCTCTCTTTGCAAAGGGAATGAGCGCATCTTCCCTCTCATCAAACTTTATCTGTAAGAAATTGAGTTAATGCATCCCTCCTCTGCAAAAATACTTGATTTGCAAGAAACGGGAGGGAATGCACCTTTACTCCTGCAAAAAAAAAAAAAAAAGGGGGGGGGGGGATGAGTACATCTTCATCTGCAATAAAGATTGCAAGGCATGTAATAAAATGTGGCAGCAAAACTTTTTGCACTAAGAAGAGCACGTGCATCCTTACACCTGCAAGAATAAAAAACAAGACTTTACGGGTGCAACCTTTCAGCCAAACAATGCAAGAAAGGGAATGGAAGTGTCCTCCATGCACTGAGGGAACCCCTCGGTGCACGGCTCTCACCCTCCTGCAGTCTTCCTGTCCTAAAGATGGAGCTGTCTGTGCACCACCGGACTTTGCAGCCTCTTCCTCTCTGAAGCTTTTTTTTTTTTTTTTTTTTTCTTTTTTTTTTTGCATTTTTTTCTCCTGCCCGTACATGTGTTTCTGTTTTGTATCGCAGCGTTTCTCCTGGCGGCTCATATTTACATTTTAAGTGCATCTGGTGGGTGGGCTCTAAGGGGGAGGAAAGGGAGAGAAGGGAAAAAAAAAAAAAAAAAAAAAGAATACACAACCTCCTTTTTTTTTTTTTTCCGCAACAGGAAACACCACCAAAAATATTGCAAAGGCCCCGGGGTCGGTGCTGTCTGTATGCTGCACCCTTCGCTCTAAACCAGGTTTGAAAATGGTGGGGGAGGGAGGGGGGAAGGCATGGAGTTGGGGGGCCGAAGGGAGTGGGGGGAAGAGGGGAAAAAATAAAATAGAAGGAAGGCGGATCCACGTGGTGCAGTGAGAGACAGACAGAGATCCCATTGTTCAAAATCAATTAAAGAGGAAAAAAAAAAAGCGGGGGCAGACGGAGGGGAAGGACGGGGAGGGGGGGGACGGGACGGACACCCCGGGCTGCTCTTCCTGCAGCCCCCATTTGGACTATTTTTTAGCGTTCTCCCCCCCCACCACCAAAATCTCCCCCTTACCCCCCGACTCGGCCATACAAAAAAATCGCCCCCGGAACCCCCCCCAGCAAACAGCCACAGAGGGCTCGAAGGCGGCGGCGGCACAATCGGGGCCCCCCCGAGCAGGTGTGCGGGTGTGGGGTGCGGGGTGAGAGGGACCCCCGGAGCGCTGCTTCCCTTCGGGAGGGGGGGGTGGAGGGGGC